GGGGGGGGGGGGTAGGAGGAATCAATACTGTTTATTCCCCTGGAATATGAAAAAGAGAGTGGCGGGAATCTCGTCCCATTCTGTTCTAACATTTCCTACACCTTTTTCTTCCTTTCCTCATGATGTGTTACAATGAAATGAAACCATATTAATTATTTCATAACCCTTATGAAAATATATTTCTTTTGGTACCTTGTTAATCCTGATATTGCATGTTGAAGGAAATTGTTTGGACTTTTACGACATAATTTTATGAAATAATTAATGACCAATTTAAAAGAAATCGAGGAAAAATACATGATTTAGTAAAGTATTAATTTTTAAGTGAGAATAATGATACTTTGTCACTGTACGGATGGGTGCCTTAAGAAGACTCATGTTGAATCCTTGTTGTTCAATTCCTAAATAAGTACAGTGTATTATTGCTTCTTTTAATAATTGATTAGTTTTTATTTGTTATAAACTTAAGTACTTTGTACACGATAGTTCCATTTTTCAGAATTTCTGTCTGAACCAGATCTGCCTTACCACTTGAATCAACGACAAAGCAAGGAATGAAATAGTACTGATCCCATGTTACGTCACAACTTTGTACCCGATCATTTGGAGACTCATTTGACTGTAAACAAACGATATCGGCTGCGTGAAACCCCCAAAACGCAAAGATGGGTACAAATCGTCTGCGCATAGTCAAAGAAACCGTTATTTTTCAGACTCGCGTTCGCTTTACGACATTCGTATTCGTGCATAGGACTGTTCAACGTGCCTTTGCATCGTGTAGATCCTGGAGATTTGCATCGCGCTCTTGGTATGCTGCAGGCTGGGCCGTCACGACACGGGGTCCCGCGTACATTAAATGCATCGCGAAGCATTATCAGCAGGTTATGGACGAGGTTCCAAACGACGAATTCAGTTGAATACTGCCATGGCGGAGGTCGGCAGCGGTCTACTACACCCGCACAAAGCTCGTATCTGAGGGTGTCTGGTAGACGTCGTCCCATCTTGAACGCTACCCAACTTCAGGAGATGCTCCTAGGGACCGCAAACGTCCGCAATTCGACACAGACTATTAGAAGAAGGCGGCACGCAGGGAATTTGAGGTTCAGGAGACCTGCCTGACATCCACCGTTGTCCGTGCAGCACACATTGCAACGTTGTCGCTTCGCTTTGGAGCACGGCCATCGGGGAGACGCCGAACGGGCAAACTGTTTCCTCACGGACGAGTCCCGTTTTACTCTGCACTGTGTAAACGAACGCCTGCGAGAGTGGAGACAGCCTGGAAAGAGCCTCAATGAAGCTTTTCTGGTTCTAAGGGTTACTTTTGGAGATGGATCTACGACTGTGTGTGGAGGCGTTTGTTCATGCGACTGCACGGACCTCGTGATCTTCCGAAACCGGTTGGTAACTGCTCAGCAATATGTGGAAAATTTTGCACTGATTGTCGTTCCCTTCGCTGGAGCGATCGGTTCAGATTTCATCCTGGTGGACGATAGGGTAACTTGGGGGAATATGACCATTGGGATAATATGGCCCTTCATAATGAATCCGCTAACAGACTGAATAATTAGTTTGGGCGAATTTAAAAAATAGTTCTATCGACGAGTACATGCAATTGTCTAAATGTTTTGACCTGTTCATTAATAAAGTACTCACAGGAATTCGGGATGCATCGATGTTTTGAAAGCCATATGCATGCGATTCTTTAACTCATGACTCTAAAACTAATGAGCCTTGAGCAACTTGATCGTGTATTTCTTAATTGCAGCATGGATACAGAAACAATTTTGTTCAGTTATTCTATGGTCCCTCCAGAATGCTTGTGGAAAGTGCTAGCCCCTTCTTGCGGTTTGCAGACATTGTTGCAGTCAATTTTGTCATGCAAGCCAATATGGGGTAATATGGACACATCCTTCATCTCATGGAAGCACCGCACTGACCTATTGCTAGTGTCAAATTCCTTTCATGTGGGACCTCAGGCAGCAAAAGCTCATCAATGCACTTCCTCTGGATATATGGATAGACGTACTGGACATCTGGACGAAATATGCAGAACACGAGGAGGCGCTGCATGAGAATATGCTTATGCACCGCCTCCTGGACTTCCGCTTGACGTACTCAAGATTTTCGTGGCACGAAATTTGAATGCAAGTAAACATCCCTCGTTACAAAAAATGGCCATTTTGTGTGCGTGTGTTTTTTTTGGCACTATTTGTGCATGCATGCAAAGCTACGCAACGTTTTCCCTGCAATGTAAGACCTCTTATTACACACTCATAGCGCATGTTCACTTTCATCTATGGTTGATCACTCCTCTTACACACACACACAGTCTCTGATACAGTCTCCCAATCACATCCAGTGTCACTCAAAGCCAAAAGCGTTGCAATCCTGCTTTCCACAACAGGTCCTTCAGTCAGGTAATGATGTCGACTTCTCTACCAGTCCTCAATGCAGTTTGTGTGTTTCTTTTTCAACTGCTGAGCCTCCTTTATTGTGTTTCAAGGTACTCAGCATGTTCCAGAATAATTCACACGTACCTCAAAAACCTCGAGTTGTTTTTTGGGTTCAATGTCACTTCTTCGACTGGACGCTTCTTTGATAGGCTTTCGTCGAAACGTCCAGTGAAAGAAATTTTCCTTCGAAGTGACATGGAACCGTTTTTTGAGAAGTGGCCTTATTCCCCTAACAATAGGGGCCTCTTGGGACCAACTTGGAAAGGATCCAAAGGCGCAATATCCATGCGGTTTCTTGCATGTGCCTTGCTGGGATTTAGTAAAGGAGATATCAATCAATATTTTAGAAACATTGTAACGCCACGCCTAACAGGGCCCTCTTGGTTGCTGGCCGATCGACCCTGACCTCAGCCCGTTCATGCTTTTAAGCTATAGTATTCGAGGTATTTGATGCCGGCACCATCGATTTTTCATCCTATACACTCGGGTGTTCCAGATTCGAACGGTGCGTCTCCATTGACAGCTATGAGACAGAACGGAATTCGCTGAAAATTGATGTATTAGGCCATTCCATCCTAGGTGTTCCAGTAGCTGTGGGGGCCATTTCACGGACACGGATGAAATTTCACATAAAGCACTGAAAAGCACATAGAGCACTTTTCACTGGAAAGTGAACCTTGGTCAATATGTTTTCCGCTGGTCATAATGTTTTCCAAGATAAGGGGTCACAAAGCTTTTGACCTTAATGGGGCGCCCTTCGTGCCCTTGTAGTATAAAATACTTGATAGCTCAGGACCTATTCCAGCTACAGCAATGTTCCTTAACTTATCTAAAAGCTCCTGAAGCGCTCTTTCAGTATGTTATTGAAGTCCCTAATCCCTAAAAACAAGGAAGTTAATTTCTGATTGTAAAAAAGTCAATGACCTTTGATCTTGCTTTCGTGGAAAACTTATATTTTTTAAATTTATTTTCAAAGTAGTGACATTAATTCAATAACTTTGTGAATTATCAGCTGTTGAAAATGAGATCATGATGTAATCTTATGACGTTAGTCCATCATGACTGTTGTAAGGAGTCTGAAGACAGTCGGATGGAAAGAACAAGAACTCCCTAGTTGTTCTAAATTTGAGCGGTGTTCTTGAATGTTTTCTGAGGAACCTTATGAATCATTAGGTTCGTGGGTAAGAAAAGTTCAGAGCGGGGGGGGGGGGGACACGCATTCGATATTATTGGCACCTTTTTGTGACTAGGAGTCATTCCTCTCAATTCAGCTTACTAATATTAAGTGGTTGTTATACTTTACATATTTCACAAACTTGAGAAGTTGAAGTTTTTTCCAATTAAGTTGATGGCTTTTTTAAAGTGAAGGGTGAGGGAAGTATGAAGACTGCATGTTGAGTGACAGGGGCAGCTTGTTGCTGCTGGTGTTTCCCAGCGGCAGCAACAAGCCGAGATCCTTCCAGAAAGGGGACTGTCCCCTATTCTGGAAGAACTCATTCACCTAGTTTCACTCGCTGATATGTTTGGTTTCGCATATGTTCAAAGGGTTAGCTCAGAGTTAGTTCAAGGGTACCATCATTGTCAAGTTGAGCAAGAGGATGGATAATTTACTTGCCACAGACTTCCGAAATGGAAAGGGATTGAGATCTCAATAATAAATGTACTGAGGGGGTACTTAACAATTGAGAGATCATTTCAGCATATAAGGTATCCAAGCAAAACTGTTCTGTAGAATTATTTTATAGAAAACAAGCATAACTCCTGCCTTTCGTTTTAACGTGATGGAATTTCTATTTGAACGTATCACCTGAGTCCATGGTCGCCATCTTAGCGCATTCAAGGGGGCATATACTCGTATTTTACCTGTGATAGAGGCATATCTCCATGAAGACATTTACAGTGGCAGATGGAAAAGTGTTATTTTTTGTTGAAATTTACCACACACAGAATGCCTACTTTCCTTGCAGTCATGACTGCTTTTGAGGTATGAAGGTATTTGCCTGGTCTCTGCTTTCAAATGGGACAAAAATCAAAGTGCTATCATAACAACTATCCCAGTCTTGAAATTATTGGGGGGGGGGGGGGAGGTGTGGGTGATGGGACTTAAAAAGTTATTTTATTACATATTTCATACTTTATTCCTTTCCTTTTACTATTTGGAGGGATTATTGACTTTAAAATTAAAGAAATTCTACCATCTATGCTTGACAGAAGATTTCTTGAAATTACAAAAAGTCTCATTACAAATATTTCGAACCAAAGAAATCAGAAGACTCTGAGTTGGTGACTGAACAAATTTTTAATTATTTGGAGAATTGGGATAGAATCATCCCACTGTCAATGTCAAGCAATTGCGAGGATCCAATTACTTTACAAAAGGACCACTTAAACAGTCATTCTTGGCTGATGGTCATATCTTACTCAATCTAATCCTCTGATTGCTTTTACTATTTTCCCTCATTTTCCATTTTTTTTCCATAAGCAACACTGGGCAATCTCTGATCCAAAACAGAGTCCACAAGTAGCATAGTAACCTGAACACCAGCACTGTACTCCCATTTTGCCAAGGGCCAAAATTTTCCACCTTAATTAAGCTTTTTATGGTAATTTGAGCATTAGCCAAGAGTGGTAAAATGGGGACTCTATGATATATGGGAGACATGTGAAAATGGGTAAGCAAAAGAATTCAAGAAAGAAATCAAAACAACTCTATATTATGATGTGACAATTCCCAATTCCCATTTTTAAGAGGTAATCAGAGCAAAGGCCATTCCCTCTCTTCAGTCAGCTGCTTCGTTCTCTCCTCGGCCCCATCGATATCCTCCAGGTCGATCTTCTGGGAGGGGTTCATATGGCTCCTCAGGTGGGGGATCAAACAGCACCCTCCTGCACACCACCATATACACACTCAAGAATGATAATCACCAGAGACGTTGCATGGCTTTCCTGTATCCTAGCTTACTTCATAAACATTGTAATACAGAAACTGGCCTTCAAGCAATATTTATACTGCTAAAACAATGATCCATATTTTCATTCCTCACGTAATTATTGTTTAGATGGGTTGGTAATTGATTGTTCTGAGAAGTCACAAAGGAGGTAAATAATATAAAAACTATCTAGGAATTCTGGGACTAATTTTGGAAGTAAAGCCTGCATGATGAAGTGTAGTTCTACACTTCTCTTTCTGGGAAGGTAAGTCAAATTATGAATGATGGATAAGAAAGAATTGGAAAATTGCAACAGGATATGTACAGGATATGAGGTGTCTTGAGGAGATGTGTCCCATTCGGCATGAGGGGAAATACATCTTCCACAAAGTAGTAAATGTGTCCAACAGTCATCCCAAGGAGGTCCACTGTCACTGAGTTCCCCAGCAGGATCGAGAATGCAAGCAGAACCCAGGGCAAATAGGGAGCCTATGGAGAATCAGAATCTTTCTCAGCAATCATTTATGAGAACTATCCTTTCCCTTATCCATTAATACTGGCATATTACATAATGAGCATGTATGAGGAAATCACAGCAGCAAGATCTTCAATCCAAACATGACTCATAAACTGAGTCACAAAGAGGGATTGTTAAGGAGTACAAAAAAGCTGGCCAAATCTCAATCCAAAATCACCTGACAATGTGCAACAATGAGTGGCCATTATATCAGTTAAACTTCAATCCTTATGGTATTTAGAACTGCATGATTCTACTGAAATTCGACAATACTGCAGGGCATAGTTGGGCATTCATCAATCACAGGCTCACCTTCCTTTCATTCTCAAATTCAACCATGCTTCCTGTTTTCTCAGAACAGCAGCATATTAACCTACTGAGTCCAACATGTCCAATTTCAGGCTTTCAATTTCACTTCACTCATTCACCCTTGTTTCCATAGTGTAAAGATCAAGATGTCTGGTGGCAGCACTTTGGCCATAATCCAGCAATGGGCCTAATATTCTCCTGAGATAAGCTGTTTTGCATGGGCAATCTGAGATATCCGAAAGGAGCCCATCTTTGGATTAAAAATGAAAGCCAGTCTTTTAACCATGCAAATCATAAAGAGGACTAAGATTTATGATGGAAGGTTTTTCATGAGTCAACTTGGCCTTGCACCCATAACACCTGGTTTCTGTCAGCCAGCCTTCTGGTCTTCTTGAACCATTAAGAAATCATGCTCCTAGTGGAGCCTTGTGCTAAATATTAATAACATGAAACAATTTTTTAAAGATACCTTTTGTGTTACACTTTGCCACAAAGCCAAATTTCACCACTCAACTCTTGACCCTTTCTGAGATTTGCAGGAACATGCTTTCACACAATCATCCATCTAGTCATCTGTCTAACAGGGTGAAACCAATGTCACTTTTGCACTGCAGTAGCACAGGAAGAAAGTTATTTGCAGCTCCAAGTTCCAAGAAAGAACATGCATTTTAAATGAGTTTGCCCAAAACCCAAGAGTGGAATGTCTAATAGCGTGTACTAACATCATGGGTGTCATTAGATGCATCATATCTCCAGTAAAGGTTAATTTGAACTTAACCTAATTAGAGCACAAGATCAAGAGTTACAGACCAAAACCTAATTATACACTTGGATTATTTGGTATTGCAGAGTTGCAAATGTCTCAAGGAAGGAGGTTCTCAATGCCAGGGCTATTTTTGTATGGGGAAGGGTGAGAGTTGTTGGTCAATCAGTATAGCCTTAAATTACGAGGGGGAGTCAATAAATAAGGTGAATTTAAGTATAGCATCAAAACAGTTTATTCTAGAAACATGAACATACACTATTTTTCAATGTAATCACCTCCTATCTTGACACATTTATTGCAGCAGCAGACAAGCTCTTTGATTCCATCAGAGAAAAAAAGTTTTTGGTTAAAGAGCGTAGCCAATTATGCACCACATTTTGAACGTCTGTATCATCCCTGAATTTAATGCATCTTTAAGAGGCCAAAACATGTGAAAATCAGGAGAATTTGATGACATGGCTAACATTCAATGAAGCACAAATTTAATCCAAAGTGAGGCATCAGTTCTCCTGAGAAGTTCATTAGCTTGTTGAACTGTATCAGGTGTTGCTGCTTTGACCAGTCTACCAGGTTGATGTTCATCCACTACACTTGTGCGACCATTTCTGAACAGTTCACACAACTTGTACACATTTTTTAATGAAAAACAACTGTCCCCGCATTGTGCACACATTCCACTGTAAATTTCACTTGGTTTAACTCCTTCTGACAGTAAAAATCAAATGACACTTCGTTGTTCAACTGCAGTGCAATCTGACAGAGGGGGCCGCATTTTGAAAACTGACTGTCAGTGACAATATTGCCAACTTTAAATGGAAACTATGAGTACTACATGTTCAGACATGCAGTAAGGATGGTATGTAATAATGAGTACATAATGGGTACATATATCTGTGAAAAATGTAAATTCACCTTAGTTATTGATTCCCCCTTCTACATGATCTACTGCTCTAAGGGGGGAACTTCTCCTGAGCTATTGAGAAACTCAGCAGGATGGACATATCCATCTTTCCTTCATTACCCTAACATGACTCTTCAATAAGTCTTCATTTATGGTTTACTGAATCAAAGATGAAGATAGCCTTCCAAAAACATGGAATTCCAAGCAACGAACAGGAAGAGAATGGCCTCCTTTCACTCAAAAAGGTCAGGTGAGCCCTCAGTCTTTTTTAAAAATTTAGAATGCTATGTTAGAATGAGTATATTTACCTGCTGCTATGGGACAAAGTAAAGTGGAGGAGCAAATGGGCATTCTGTAAGTCAACCTCCACCTTCTGAACAAATCTTATTCAGTTTCATGGTTTTATGTTAATTTTATGAATCTATGATTTAAACATGTATTTTTTCTTTTTAGCAAAAACCAAACTGAATGTTACTTGGGTTATTCCATGCAGAATGATCAAATGGTTAAGGCCAACTAGTCATAGGTTCAGCCTAAAAGTCACTTTCCAAACTGTAAAGCACAACTTTCTTTGCTAGGTTCCATTAGGAAAAAGAGTACTTAAATATGCAAGAATTACATAACTTTTTCAAAATCAACCCCAACATTATGTTAATGGAGACACTTTAGTGAGCAATGGCAGGTGAGCTTCTAGCAGATTACCTTACCACTATCTGGTTATCAACAGTATAAATTGTGAATTAATCATAAGAGCTTGTTTCATTTGGTGATAATTATGCAAATTGCAGAAAATGAATAAAAAACAAAGTGTGTCTGATGTTGACGAATCATTCTCTGACCTATTAGTATAGAATTATGGTACTTAGGTCTTAGAAAAAAAAACCCAACTGTTGAGACAAAGCAAATGGAGATAGAGATGTTAGAATGAGACATGTTGTGTACATGCTCACCTGAAAATTTAGGATCCCAAAGAAATTCATGCGCACAAATGTGTTCCTTCGGGACCAAATGTAGACCAGCATAATGGTGAATGCTTGACCCAAGAAAAGAAGATTCACAAAAAATGCTGCTATCTGCCATAGAGTAGGTTAAGGAGTCTCAAGACAAGATTAGGCTAATATGACAACCACTAAGAATTCAAATTTCTTAAACAATGTTGAATTCAGATAAATGAAGGCTTACCTCTGAAAGTGAAGTGGTTAAAAACATCCAGCTATGCCAATACAAAAATATGATGAAATTCATGACTAAGGGAAGAGTCAACAAGAAAAGGATACAATCATGAAAAAAGCTCCAAACATGAACATCCAGATGAAATCAGCCGTACGGTTCCTGAAGGAGCCCTCCTCAAGCATCCGGCAATAGCGGAAGGTGAAGATCATATTAAAGAAGAAGTTAAAGCCAATAGTACCAAAAAAGAGGAATGTGGTTGCCAGCCTCCATATCTGTAGGACCAGAATGACAATGAGAAAAAACATATGGGCTTGGGGGTTGTGAGGATTAGTACCTGCTTAAGTGCCTAACTACCTGATAGTTCCTGCCTTTTTGTACACTACTTGAATGAGAAGTTCTATCAATTTTATATACACTATCACTGGACCCATAATCAAACATAACACAGCTTCTAATGCCTTTCTAGATACGTATTTATTGGTAACATGACATTCACATTTCACAATTGTTAAACATGTGGAAAAGAGCTCCAGTTGGTGCAATATTTTTCACAGATTTTATTGTAGGAAGAAGAAAAATCATTTGTTCCCAATATGTAATAATGTTTTCAGATGGGTGAGACATCAATGCAGTTATGATGTTACAAGTGAAGTCAATGTAGTTCAGATTCATGAAAATTTACTTGAAATTCCCTTGATAAATAACTTGATACCAATTAGCATCAACATCAGATTCAAAATGTCATAATGTGAATCCAAGACCTATGCCTATAATTACCACCATCCTCCATAAATCCAATAAGTAGGCCAGCAGTAATTGCAGCCCAAATTGACATAATCTCTCCCATTGGAAGTGCCTATGGGTCCCTTAACTGAATTATTTCATTCTTAATATCCACTCTTTGGACTAAGCAGAGCAATCTCTATCCTCTTTACATGGCTGAAGCTTTTCCCCCTGGATGTGGTGCATCCATAGATGGAACTTGTTCAATTCACACAATAAACATCGGTTTAAGCATGCATTAATATGTGGCTGACCATGGGTAAGTAACAGTCCTAAAATTGATGGGGTAATTGACTCCAAACACCTGATGAGGGGGGATTCTGCAAATGCATAAGCCAGAACCTGATCTGCTAGTCAGAGATATGCTGAAAAAAGTGAGGTGGCAAAAGGCAACCCATCTGTGGCTATGACTAGTGACTTTTACATTCAGTGCAGTTTGGAAAATGGCCTGAGATCATGATTTTTAGATCAGCTTATCTACTAAATCAGAACATCCTTAATTTTATTATTCATATGTATAATTTATTTTATTTACTGTTGCTTAATCTCTCTTAGCTTTGTTGTCTTTAAGGCTTGGACTAATCTCCAGGGAAGTTAGTATACCTTTTCAGCAGGTCATGCTTCATTGTCATTTTTCTTGAACATTCCTAAAATATTTTTTTTTACATAAATCATGTTTTTTCCAAACTTTGTGCCCATGATACTTTTCATATATTCTTTGATATTGTCTGATCATAATCATTGACACCCCTTTCTTCATGTTCTCTTTCTGATATCATGCAGACTTGCTTAAAAAAATTTTCCATTTCTCCCATCAAACCAATGGCTCAAGCAAAAATGTCAGTCTGTCTTACCTCTTTATATACTATTCAATATTAAATGAAAGGAGGGGTTCCAGTTGATTAGGGTTCAGCATGATGAACTAAATATCTGAAATTCTAAAAAAAATGCAAGAGGGACAGACTATTTCCACCACACCTTTGATATGTATAAGCATATGGGCCTACATAGTACGTGCAAGCATTCGATTGAGGAGTTCTTAGGAAAAAGGGCTCATGTACAAAAGATGCAACTCAAGATATATGGAAAAACTTCCAAGAGCTAATCTGCAGCTGGTCAAAACTAAGTTTTCAGTCAAATGGTATCTTAGACCTTTTTCCATTTGAACTTGGAATTTAAACAAATTTATTTATCTCACATTGCTGATATGCAGATAGAAAGTATTTATGCACATATGCCCTTTTCCCATATCCATGCTACTGGAACTTTTTCCAACCAGTCTTTCACCACTTCTTTCCAGTTAAAAATAATTGTTAACCAATAAATAAATCTACAGATTCAAAATGAAAAACTCATCCTCAAAGAATTGCAATGAATATGTGAATATTCAGGACAAATTTCATTCACCAATTATTTATCAGTGATCCATGATTTATTTATTCTTCATCTGAATCTACAACTATTTCATCACCAGCATCTTGCATCCTTCAAGAGGCTTGAATGACTGGGCCTCTCTCTTTCCCTTTCCCTATGTGGCTTCTGTCTCATTCTCACTTTCAGTTTAAATGGATGGAATTATTGCACCAAAATCATTTAGCAATGCAGATGCGAATGGAATAATCATGGAGGTAGCCATATTGAAATTCCCTGGCAGTTGACCTACCATATAGTGAGTACAGAAGATAATCTACTTCTCCTTTGCTGAATATGCATCTTAGCCACCCGCTGACCACCCTATCCTTTAACAAGTCTCTTAACCACTTACCAGTTTTTTTTTTGTTGCAGTGAATTGAACCAAAGATTTCAATATTTTTTTTGCAGATTTGGATTCTATAAACTTCATTTGAACAAAATATGTATGAGTAACATATTTTATTCATTTATTCGGGCAAATCAAGAATGATACACGAATTGCCTGCGTCTCATGTGGGCAAATCAGTTTTGGGAAGGGCAACACCCTCTGCATCAGACGGGCAAATCACAGAAGCTGTTAAAGCAGCTCATGGAAACAGATATAAAAAAGGGTGAGTGGGCACTTCCACCCCTTTTCCAGAGAACTCCTCAGTTGATTAAAATGGAGTACATACCCATAAATATAATAAATATGCTCACCTGAAAGTGTTTCCATATGAGGATGGGATTGAAGTACAATTGAAATGGTGATATGATATCCAACTGCTGCTCTCGAAAAAAGGGAGAAACAAAAGTACCAGATATGAAATCAACAGTCTACAGAAAAATACAATGAAACAAAAGTTTCCCTGTAAGTCTGCTATTTATATATTTTTGAGATTAGAGTTTTTTTTTCACTTGAATTTTAAGATGCAAGCATTATATAAACATTATAATGGCATTTTCTTTGCATCTCTGGAGGGGGTCTCAAAATGTCTGAAAAACTCTCCTGAATAGATATACCTAATTTCCTTTTCTAAGGAATTGTTTCCTAAATATTATTACAATACTTTATTTCTGAAAAAGCCATGTCTTTCACTTATGGTATCTGAACACCTTTGGACAATAGGCCAAGTAGACTACAATTAATCCCATGAAAGATCAAAAGTGAAATTCAATGACAATTAAGTATCACTTCAAAGGGGTCAACATAAGTTTGGGATGAAAATCAGTGCATTTCAGTTCTATCGTTTCCCTATGGATACTGCATTTGTTTAAAGCATTGATTTTGTGAGTGTTTCACATTCATTTATCAACACTCTTAACTTTCAGACTGTGGATAAGTCAAGTCTCATTAGGGAAAAGAACTTTGATTGTGCAGCTTCTCAGACATAAACACATTATGACACAAATAGGCCACAATTATGTACCACATGTACCAAGAACAGCTAGAGCAATTGGAAAGCTCATTACATTTTACATAAAAGCTAAGAATTGGGTGGGATCACACTCCCTAAAATGTACTGCTGTAGAAATGCTCATATCTGAAAATTGGACAAAGTTATGGTTGTTAACATTCCAACAGGTAAGCTTCCACATTTGCATTGGCCTGTGGTTTCAACTGAAGAATCACTCTTTGAACGAACACAGTACATTCTTTAGTCTAGAAAACATTGTGACAACAAACAAATTTTAAAAGCCAAGTCTCCCCATGAACATAAATATTTATAAAATTCTGCTGTATTTCTTTGAGGTACATGGAACAGCAGTGTCCTGCTATAACTCCATCTCCTCAGTAAAGGGTAAACCTTCCTGAAGGTACACCTGTATATTCCACAATTCTTACTTCACATTAGCAATGTTACAGTTGTGCAGAAAATATGAGGAGCATGGGGATTCAGGAAGATACTGGTGAGGGATACACCAGGTGAACACAAAGTCTGTTAGGAAAAATAAAAATTCTGGAGTTATAACTATCAAAGCTGCTATATTTCAACATTTTAGGATGGTAGCAGGTAAGTGAAGGTTTTTTTTCAGAGTCAATTGCTCATATTGAATAGAACCAACATGGAGCCACCAACAGAACATTCTTATTCTTCAATCTTCCACTTTTTGTTCAGTTACTCCCAGGTATTCCACTGATTCTGCTCTCTTTCCTCAAATTTGTAGGTGAGTGATGGCTCAACAATTAGATTAAAGTGCTTAATATGCTGTACAGGATCAAAGAGAAATAAAAATTGCTTCCTGGATGAATGTGCAAGAGTGCCTCACTCAAGGGCAAAGACACTTCAGAACACCTTCGAACAGGAAATCTCTGGCAAGACCAACAATGAAAAGGTTCTGTGAGAAGTTCCCTGAAAAAGGAAGTGTGGTGGACTGCGACTTCTTAAATAACTTTCAACATGCTGAATGCACTTCAAAAATGCTTCATAAGATACCAAAGGTAAAAAATCTAAGTGTGTACTAATGCTGGTGAGGTACTTAAAGGCAATCTAGCACACTTCCTGGAACTTCCTACGAAGCCTTCTGAAATTGAGAATAAATGTCCAGAAAGATGAACAATGTGCTCTGAAAAAATATTTGCATTCAAATGGGGGCACTCATCATCATCAACATGGTATCCATGAAACAATGCTTATTTTTTTCTAGATTATGATGTAACATTTTGATAACTTTCATCAAAAGTGCTCAGCTATCACTTACCTACAAAATACAAGAAAAGAGAGCAGAATCAGTGGGGGTCCCAGGAAGAAATTGGGCCATATCAGTGAAAAAGTCAAGAAAATAAATTTTCTGGCTCCATGTTGGTTCTGTTCAAAATGAACAAGTAACTCTGAAAAAACCTTCACTATTCTCCTACCTTACTGGAAAATTTCAACTGTGCCACTTTGATAATTGAACCTCAAAAATTTTTTAAATAAGAAACTTCATGTCCACCCATTACTTCAAAAGGACATGAGGAAAATGCCATAGCATTTCAAGACAGTCTCTGTCAGTTAAACAGGAAAGATCTGACACATTTTACATTTGGATGTTCTAAGTCTTAAGCAGGTGATTCTCACCTCCAAAAGTTTTGTTTTCTTTTGCTTGGGGGAATAATTCCATATGAGTCTTACTCTTTTTCGAACCACTGGGTTTCAACACCCAGAATATAAAATTCTGCTAAGTTAGACTCAGAAGATGTTTCACACATTGTAATATATATATATGGTGGGCCAATATTAGCACTACATCAATTTATTGATAAATAACCAAGCAGAATTACAATGGCTACAATATTCATTGTGCCAAAGTTTATTCCTGCTTCCAAACTACCAGTTACTATAAGTGCTGGTGCAAAGCTTCCATTCATTTCATTTTCAACTAAATTTTGCTCTAAGCAACTTTATCTGCCAAGTATAGAACTAGATTATAATATATGGGTCTGACTTTTTAAGAATGAAAAGTAGAGGTGAGTGAAAAAAAAGACATTTTCCAAAAGAAGACTTGAGAAATCTATTATATTTCAGAAGCTACATTATTATTCCTTAAATACAGGTCTCATAGTTCACAGTCCACTGGCCTCATAATTGTTATCACTCTGATGATGGATCTTATTCAAAGTAGTTACCATTCAGATGCTATATGTATGCCAATATTTCTGCAAATTTCAGAAGCACTTAAAGGCATAAAAATTTCATGCCTGATTGAGCTAAATACATGGACATACATGTATGTATGAGATATGGCTGTGGTAGTCCATTCATCACATTAGTAGCTTGGCATGGGTAGGGCTGCCTGGAATCAAATAAATCTGTCAGCTATTTGATCATCATGTGCTGGTTGAACTTCACCAAGCTCTTCAAATTTTTGTCAACCTCTCTCCACAATGAGGTGTTTTTGGTTAGTTTTGCCTTGTGATCAACATTGCACTGTCCTGCAGCCATTGCTGATACCATTAAATGATGGTTGCCTTTGCCAGCAAAGTGACCATCTGTGGTAATAATGCCCAGGCTTGACATGCACCCACAATCATGTCCATTTCAAATTATGTTAAATCCTGGTCCTTTATGTGAGGGAAACCAATTGAAGTGGCCATGAAAACTAAGGCTGCTCTATGCAGGCCTTTTTCTATATGGAAATTTCTTACAAAGTGATATGTCACTGTGCTTAACCATCCCCATATTTCCTGCCCCCTTCCCCACATAGCCTCCTATGAAAGGTAAACGCCACAATGGATTTACATGACCTTTAAATATAATGTGAATGCTGACTCATACAACACGAATAGAATCATTTCTCCCTAGGTTCTTATGCTACACATTCTCTGAATTGGTGGACCTCCACTGCCTCAAAGCAAAATACAGAAAGCTTTCGAAAAATCTTTTTTAAAACTGTTGAAAATCAATATTAGCAGATGCAAACATTGCCTGAAAGAGTTGTTCTTGTAAGATGAGAGTCAAACTTACCACAGCTAATGTAGTGAGCACACAAGCAGTTGTATATGCCCTTGTGACGGGGGGAATTTGCATGTACTCTTGCTGAAACGTCTGGTATGCCATTCCCATGAAGTCACAATAAGAAATGTTAACAGAACCACTCCAAGGATTTTCTGAAGATAAGGATTAGGCCATTGACCTTCTCCAGGCTAATGAGCGGGTCTAACGTAAGCCGTTGGCTATTTTGGTCAGCTTCTTGCCCCATGGGTTTGTATAAGCTGATTGAACATCTTCAACTATTGTCAGAAATCCATCTCAACACAATCCTAAAGTTAAGAGAGCAAAAAATGATGAGATTGTTACATGAAAATATACTACTTTCTAAGATCTAACCTAGGACAAGGTTAAAAGTAAAAAAAAGCTGCATCAGTGGCAGCAATGAAGCTCTGTTTACAAGCAAGATCATGGAGCTACTTCATGCAAGGGGTGGTCATCCCAGGTATCTCATCAGGCCATTAGGACTGAGCTTGTAATTCAAGCAGTTTCATGACATGGAACAAAAATTGCTTCATTTAAAAATGCAACTGACAAGGTTTAGTAGTTCAAGTGTGTAATTTCCTTGGTATACCTTCAATTGATGGCAAATAGTGAATAAATGCTGAAACAATGCACAGTTCTGCAACTGTGATGGCAGGTTGATTGACCTGAACATCAGGACAACATTTTGAATATGTAAATGTCAGATTGCATATGAAGCACAAGTCAAGAAACAATTGACCCATAATAAAGACAAGAGATTTTTTTATAGGTATAACAAATACTTCCACCCGTTTGCTTTCTTCTAATGCATCAAGAAAAATGGGACTTGGCCAAAATGTACAATAGTAAACTGATTGATGTTCTATTCTAGAAGAAATGACAGAAAATCTATATTAAATAAGAATAACCATAAGTTCCTTCCCATCTTTTTGGGAGTCAAAGGTCTAATATTTAATGACACCAGCATCTTAAAATCTTCATCATTCAATCATATTTGCCATAAATTCACATATTTTCATGTCAAGGAGCTTGGCCACATCACCAGTATGAACCTCAATTGCTTTATATTCAATAATCTAGGAATCTATAGCTTTAATACAGCCATGATTCAAGCATTGTCAAGATGGGCAAAAAGATGATGACATGGACTTATGCCACTTGCCTTTGCCATCTTTAAAACTCTGAACCATTTGCACTTGAACTAATATTAGATCTACCTCCATTCTTGCCATATCAAGATGTTTGAAATGTAACCACAGTTGGCACAACTGCCCACCTAACAACTTGGATATCATTCTCCTCTGTTTATTGGTCACATTTGCTACATTGGCACACCCTCATGACACTTTTTCCTCAGATTCACCCTTCTCACCTAAGTATAATTCACCTGATTCCCCTTTTGATATCCAACATACAGAAATATCACATACAGCAGCTGCATGTAGTCACATGCACCATATATATTCATTTATTTCAAAAATGATACATATGAAGCTAAATATATAAGTACATGTATGGTTAAAAACATAGGATCCAGGTGAAAATTAATCATATTTAGGCAAACCTGAATAGCATGAATGTTTCATGCACAGGAAATATCAGGTCTGAAGGATAGGATCCTGGATATATGATAAAGTATCAAAGTATCTGGTTGAGGAACATGATGCACATAAAAGGACTTCCATGTTTTATGCATAAAAGACCTTAATATATATCGGTCTTGCAAATTTACGCAATACCTTTACATATAAAATTTTTTTCAACAGCATAAGTCAACGGGATTGATACTTCATGCAAGGTATCTAACGTTAAAACTTTCTCCTTAAGGGAAGTACTTAACACCCATTAGGAAGGACAATTACTACTTAGCCATTGTCCTTACTGCTGGGAGCGTTAATAACTCAAACGATAAATTTAGTTTGGGATAGCATAATAAAAACAGGGGCAGAACATTTTTGAGGGAGTATAATTACTCGGACGAACGGTTGTCTTAACTTTGGACGATACCTAACGCGATGCCTCCCGCAGTCGCAAAATCTAAACCGAGCGTTGTCTATTTTCTCTTCTCCGCTCCTCTGAAGTTAAAAAGGGCTCACTAACACATGCCTTCGAGCACTAATGACGTTGAAATTAAAAAACGTGATTGCAAGTATTGTCTGCTCAGGAGCTAGGCCATCGACGAGATTTAGCACGTAGGGGATACACGTGCTAACATGGACGCCATCGAGTGCACATGCCGATCGCATGACCAATAACGTGGATGATTTTCGTGGTTAGTAGGACACAATTCATCATCTTCAAACTTCTGGATTAACGTCAGCCTAGATGTCTGGGGAAAAGGTCACTCAAAAGCCGTAAGTTTCAGATGTATTCAGGGATATAAAGTTTCCACAAACATCACTTCGTTGATCGGATATCCTACTTACTTGGATAGTTGCTGTTTTAGCTAGCCCTCAAGGCCACTTTCCATCAGACCTCAGAAACCATGTCGACGATTCTGCCCTAAAACCGTGTTTTGTTTTTTTTTATATATATAACTCTTTTAGTACCAAGGGCAAGTAGTTACCATGTGCCAATAAAAAAAACCAGCAAAAGCAATCTTGCATACAACTAGTATACATGCCCCAAGCACATACTACACAAACACTTATTACCTAATTTCATTTTTTTTTCAGTCTCTCAAACAATTATGCAAGTGTTTCTTATGGGTCTGTCTACACCAAGTGATCCGAAGATTCTTAGTGGAAAATTTCTTTAAATTTGCAAATATTACTTTCTCTAGAAAAGCTCATAATCTCTTTTCCCTAAAGGCTTGAAAGATTGAGAATGTTACCTTTAAAAAAGGAAAGAATTAGTCATTTTTATTATATATTATTCATACAGTTTTCATGATATTCATGGATGCGATGGAAATGAAAATCTGGAGATACTGAATTAGACTGCTGGAATAGATGACAGCATGGGTTCTCCCATGCATATGTGATCATTATTTTCTAAGTTTTGTAACCTTTGGGCGACTTGCACTAATTCCAGGCCTTCATTTAATCTATAGAATAAACATAATATCAAATTGATAGGCTCCAGTGCAAATATGTGACTGTAATGTTATCATTCCCATGTGGAAATTCTGTGTATGATTCTATATGGCCATGTATGATCATATATTTGCAATATATGTATTCATATATTATCAATTGTATGATATATAATATATATTATCTATAACACAATATCAAAAGTTATGGCCTAATGGCATCATGTCTGACATGTGGTGAATATCCGCTGGCAAGTATGGTTGTTAGTGAACATAGCATGAGGTCAGTGGGCCAGGGAATGCAAGCCAGCCGAGTGGGGGGGGCCTCAAACCCCATTCAAGTGATATTGGGAGAGAAAAATATTACCTCCAATGGGGCACCAAGTTTTGTCCCAGGGGTACCAGGGAAGGAGAGGGGTGGCAGCTGCACTTCCTACTGTCCCTGTAAAATATGCCACTGCATGAGGTCACACATGAGGGCCATGACCTTCTGATGCCTCTGCAAGTATGGTCAACTCTTGATAACTCGTAGTCCATGGGACATGGGACAAACAGGTAACACCTCCTCATTTAATGCATAATCACTGGAAAAATTCAGTCAGACGAGTTTGGCGAGTTTTTGCAGCACCATGTTCAACTATGTTTTCCAAATGCTTGATTGTGTTGAAAGAGGTTTATGCACACTCAAAGAATTTTCATTTGATTCCTTTCAACCTGTAGTGTTAAGTGTAGAGTATCCTCCCACCAACCTCTGGGGGCGAAATTTCCTGGTTTATCCCCTGACTGGGTTGCATCTTCAAAGAAATATTTAGAGGAAACCCATTTTATTCCTCTAAAATCTATGTGGGGAACTAGGGAAATGTGTCAAATGTACAGGTGACTCATCTCAGTTGAATCTGGGAAGTGACTCACGAGTATGACCACTTAAACTCCATCTCACACTGATTTTTGGAACCTTCTCAGCCCATTGACTACACATACACCGCTGGTGCCATGTGTCACCCAGTGAAGGGATGATGAATGGTGCAATTGCAGCACAAAATTAGGCCGGCTCAATTAGTTGCAGGAAAGAGTGAACTGCCTCAGTTATGGGCCAATGATAGATCAAGAAAAATTTTTGACTGGGTGCACCCATGACTGGTTGACAAAGGGGAAAAATTAATTGTCCTTATGAGACTTTAAAAGGAAAACATAGTTTCTTCACGTTAGAGAGGAATTCGAGTTGAAGAGGTTCAAGTTATTCAGAGTTGACTTTAAAACAGTATTTAATTCACCCATTACATTCTACATTAAATATTACCAATGTATAACTGTTAAAGTAACTTCCAAAAATATTTATTTTAAACCCTTATCCTCCCTATGTAGCAAAAGTGTATCAACCCATGTGAAAGTTTCATATAAGACCATATATAGAATGGCCATGTATTTAGCCAGTCAAATATATATGGGGCATGTATGACCATATAGTTCAATGCATATATGAAACATATGTGGGGTTTGATATAAAATCATATGAGAATGAAAATATATGACCCCATATATTTTCATATATTAACTCATACAAATGCACCATATACTGTCCATATATGCCATGTCATATTTATGTATGGTGAGATTACCTGAAACATGCCTGTATCCAAAAAAGGGTCCATAATCCATCAAATACTGCATAATCATTCATATGCAAGTCATCATACTTTACTTGCAATCAACTCACTTTTAATGGTTCATGGTAAATTACTCCAAGAACTCATGTTTCATGGTGTTCAACATATGCACCCTTGTTAATGAAGGTGAAAGTTTCAATAGACAATAGACCTTCTCAAGTATTTTCATCAGTAATGCTATTTCATGACAAAACTTGGCTTACTCATGCAAGAGTGTCTTCATCATTTTGACTGGCAACTCACAAGATAGATGGGAACAAAAACGGTATTTTTTTCTGACATAATCCAATGAAGGAATTGTTGAATGGCATGGCACAGCATGTACCATTTTGCAGCAACAAAAAACACATCAATACAAAGGAAAAGATGCATGAAATGCATGATAACAATGTCCCAGCGTTCCTGTGCCCCCCCCCTGCCCCCCTCCCACACTTTTTCATCTGTGATACACTTATGCTACCTAGGGAGGGTAGGGCCTAGTTTGAAATCCCAACTGGAATTTTCCAGCTGGACAGAAGTTGTACATTCAGACCATTTCCAGCTGGCAAAGAGCTGAAAAATGGTAGATAGAGGTTGTTTTACAGCTGAAAATTTACCATTAGAATTTTATACAGAGGACCCCCCCAGTTGGAATAGAGCAGAATTTACAGTTGAAATTCAGCTGCTTCTGTAGAAGGACCTCCAGCAAGAATAGCCAACTAAAACATTCGCATTCCACCAGTGTATTGCAATTAGGAACAATCTGGGTCTGACTTCACTTTCCAGCTGCTACCCAGTTGGAATGGGTCTGAATTTCCAACTGAGGTCCAGCTGGAAATTGTAGCTGTTCCAAACTAGAATTTTAAGTTGGGGGGAATTCAAAATCAAACTTTTTTGGCAAATTACTTTAAAGGTTACACATAGCTAATATTTCATGTAAAATATAATTGGTGCAATAAAAATTAGCTGCAGAGGCATCTGAAGGTCAATTGCTCTCATGTGTAACCACCTCATGCAGTGGCGTATTTTACAGGGAGAGGGCAGGGGGGTGTGGCTGCCCCCCTGTGCCCCCACTCTGCTGCCCTGTCCCCCCTGACTCTTCAGCCAAAATACACCACTGACCTTGTGCAATATTTTACTTACAACCATAAGACTTATCTATAGATATTCACCACATATCAGACATGATGCCATTTTCCCACCACACTTAATATTGCAATGCAAGTATAATATATTATACACCATACAATTGTTAATATATGAATACACATATGGTGGTATATGGCAAAAATATGATCATACATGGAATTTTCACATGGGAAAGGATGAAAAAGTGGAGAACTCAGGGGTAGCAATATGCAAACTTTTCAGTTCTTGCTTCCTTTTTTTTATCCATGTATTCAGTTGCACCCCCTTTTTCCCCTCCCTCCCCCCTCCACTGGCTCCATTTCATCAGAAACTGCTATTTCAGGTAAGTTGGCATGAGAAAGTTAAAACAAATACATGGTTTCAGTGGAATAACATTAACTTCATTAAAAAATCAGAGCTATTGAGAATAATGCAATATTACAAAATGCCTCTCCCTTTTCCCACCCAGACAGACTGTATTGTACAGTACTCATCTCAATCTAATGGGACAACTTCCCTTGAAAAATTTTGCCTATAACATCACAATGGAACTATTGATACCTCCAACCTTGATACCTGATAGTAGTATCATGGACCTATCATGACAGCCCTACTTCATTGTTATAAGCAAAAGCATAGGCCTGCGCACTTGCTTCTAAATATTTTTTTAAATTTCATAATAGTTTAATACTCTAATAATTTAATTAGTGATTCACCCACATTATTGTTGGTAGGAATCAGGCATATTGTATTAAAATTAAATCCTCATATAACTCAAAGCATGACTGTTCTCATTTTAAATAATTTATTTAAATCTTTGCTGGAATCTTTTTGTGATATTAAAAATTGTACTTCAGTAAAAAGTGCACATATGTTAAGCAGCATGAAACATGAGTTTTTGGAGTGATTGACTATCATCTATGAAGAAATAAAAATGAGTTTATTGCAAGAAAAGTAAGTCTAGTATAGTGCCAGGATGATTAAACAGTATTTGGATTATGAACTCTTTTAGGATGTGGGTATGTTTCTGGCATTCTCACCATACATAGACATGTTTAACTTCATATATATGGAAAAGATGTGACAAAGCATATATGGTGCAATTGTATGAGTCAATATATGAAAATATATTTGACCATACATTCATATAGGAATTGCACTATATGTTTATATATGCCCCACATAAGTTAGAGTGGCTAAATATATGACCATTTCATACATGGTCTATGAAATTTTCACATGGAAAATGTTATTTTGTCCCTTATTTCTTCTCATAACTAATCCTACACAGGCTGGAGAGTACCTCATATATTGTATGCCATAGATCAGGCAATTTTAATCTTTTCATATGTAGTAATAACATGAATTATGAAGAGATGGAAAGTAGTTCTATCTGTGAAGGTGTGCATGACTCAGCAAAATTGTTGCTATGTGGTATCTTCTGTAACCCACAAGGTATGGGCTGATACTTCCAAAGAGGACAACAAAGGTGACATTAGATGAGTTGGTACAGAGGCAGAGAAGAAATGCAGCAACATCTGTGTTCCGGGATGATGAAGAGGGGAGTGAGAAAGGTGCCAGTGGAAGTGATGATGAGAGTGCTGCTGTGGAACTCTCTGACTGGAGGATGAAGACCCTCCTCTCTGCTCCTAAACAGGTCTATACCAATCACTACCATGTTGTCTAGGATCCCACTGAAACCTAATGAGCATTAAGTTTCATGTTAAATTTAACTGACCAAATTTATTCTTTTCAATATGATATAGAATTGAGATTGAAACTTGGGTTTGATTTATTTTACTTTGCCAAGGGAAAAAAATCCAAAATGCTGTTTTCTCTTAATATCCAAGAAGATTTTAGGTACTTGTTCTTTGTTTTTATTATATCATATTGTGACTTCTCCATGTTAGTCAATTTGAATTTGTACCTTGATGCTTCAGTCAGCCTTTTGAATCTCTGAGACAAACTAAAACATCTCACCATTTAGCGAGATGTGATAATAAATTGAATGCAGCTTCTACTGGTCAGTGAATGGGACCCTGAAACTGAGAACAAAGGGAGATTCATCAGCTACTTAATCAGGTAGAGTCAGCTGTGAAAAGTACAAGTAGACAGAGAAGGAAATAAATGAAGTCATTCAGGGTGTGGTCATTATCCCATTTTGGTACTTAAATTGCAACATGCCATTAATAGGGAATGCATAAAATTCTCAACCTTGCCAGCCCCACCTTGCATGGCCAATCAAGTTTCACTTCTTCAACTATGAGGAAAATTTACAGGGTAGACCATAAATATTCATACCACCTGAAAGTTTTCTATCTCTGCATGTGCAAGAAAAGCAAAGAATAAAATGGACATGATATTATAGGGTGCTTAGTTTTTGGTGGCCATTCTTGGGCACATCAATGGGACTCCACTCCAAAGCAGGAGACTCACTGATGAAAGTCCTGTCATGCATACCATGTAGCAGAAATTATTGAAAATCCTGAATGTACAACCCAGACTGTTATCCAATTGATTACTGCATGTGGAGTGTGCTGGAATTAAAAATCCAAAAACAAGATCCAGCATTCAGAATCAGTTAAGGCTAGTGTTGAAAAAGGAGTGGAACAAAGGTGCACTTGATGTAATCAACCATAGACTTGAAGATTCCAGATTGCTGTCAAGAAGAAGGAGGAGACACTGAAAATATTCTATCTTGTTGAGATTCAATAAGTTCAAATGGATATGGAAATACAAGACTTCTGAATTCCAATTTCATGAGCAACAAGGCAAGAAAATATGAGAATTTGGTTTCTCTCCTAATGACTTGCTTGAATATCCTCATGAAATGATGCTTGATGAGAAGAAGCCTCTGTTATTGTTAATTTCAGTTTCTCTCCCACTCAGGAAAAGCCATGAACTTGTGTGAGGAAATGTGCTTTCACCCATGTCTGCAGTGTTGAACATGAGTTTTTCTCATTTGATTTGATTTACTTCTCTTGCATTTTTGCATTTTCTGAAACTTTTTAAAGGCCTAATTTTCTGGTCACATAAATGTTACACAGAAATATTTGAAGCCTTTTCATTATGCTTTATGCAAGAATTCAGAGCTGGAACTTGTTCATATTATAGATTATATGTCTGTTACTTGTTTCTGTGTTGGGATTGAAGTATTGGTATTTGCCACTAGTTAGTAGCTGATACTAATATTATTCCATGCTGCTGCTATGTTATGCTTCTGGGTATTAGTACCAGTATTTCCCATTTATTTCATGGTTTGGCACTTTAATGCAGCCAGTGTGTGGTTACCTGATTTAGTGCTGAGTTTTGACTATTCTTGCTTGTGCAGAAATCAAGAATAAAGAAGCAAACTCAGCTGACCCTTGCAAAAGCCTTGGAAGATGATCCAACCGCTTTTCTTTATGATGAAGTTTATGATGAGATTCATGCAAGAAAACCTGACAAAAAGGAAGATGAAATGAAAGATGAGAAAAAGAGTGATGGTGAAAGAGCTGTGGAGAAGGCAAAGGTGATTTCCATCCCATCTCTCCTGTGAATATCCTCTTCATAAAAAATGTAACATATGTAAAGGTAAATATTATCAGTGAAACAAATCATCATGGTTTTGTGTCATGATCTTTGTTTTAGCCAAGATATATTCAAGTCTTGCTCAAGACAGCAGAGCATAGACTGAGAGAGAAGGAGCGTCGAACAGAAAGAAAGCTGCAGAAGGAAAGGGAAGCAGAAGGAGACCTATATGCAGACAAAGAAGCATTTGTCACTGCATCTTTCCGTAAAAAAATGGAAGAAATGGAAATGGCTGAAGAACAAGAGAGACATCAGCGTATACTTGAAGGTAAGTAGCCCCTGTGATCACTTCACTTGGCAAAGTTTAGGCAGCATTAAGAAATGTTGGAATGCAGTGTCATGTGCATCTTCATCCCTTTGTACATTCAGAACTTGTTGCTTGCCAAACGATAAAAAAAAAATTAATCCCACTCTTCTACACTCCACAAAGGGAAAAATTTTGCTGAATCTTCCAAATGTTTGCAATATCCCAATCTAAAAAAAAAGATGAAGATTTCATTACTTACAGAGTGAAAGTGCCATTTTTCCTATCATTCGTTTGTGTCACCTATAGTCACAGGTTCAGTAATAACTGATTTAGAGAAAGATTTTGACTGACTCACTGAGATACAATCACTATCTTCTCCAACAAATAAAAAATAGTCAGGGTTCATTTGAAAGCAGGCTGCCTCTGTTTCAAGCAATCAAATTCCAAAACACCTTGATGACCTTGAATCCCAACAGCTTTGGAACCTCTGACTTTTCTCTGACAGTAGCTTGGAAAGTCTGGGTAAAAAAAGAGAGACAACAAACTTGCATATGGTGGTAAGGGTCAAGCATAGTTTTTCCCTGAAACCATTTTATTATTGATGATAAGCTATGCACATTGGACCAGGAACCAGAAAATGCTGCCAGATGTAAAAATGCAGATAATTCAGAGGGTGAAATATATTTTCTCCCCATAATACCCTAATGGCCATTGCAACATATCCCACTCGTACTCTCTTACTATTCCCTTTCCATCTAACATACAGGGTGTTTTAAAAGTCCATTTGGCTGTTCAGACAACTGCCCATGGGAAATGGACACGATATTGTTAAATTTGGTGTGTAGACCATGTGGAAGACAGTGTATATAGTTGTGTGGTGTGTTTTGATGACATGGTCACACTACAGGGTGTTAAAAAAAACCATAGACCCCCCTGCACTGTCCAAGTCATCTTGGCCCCATAGATCCCACCTGTACTGTCATTAGTTGTCATGTTCAGCTATCCTGGCCTGCAAGATTGCCTGCCTTCACCACAGCAGACTTCTGGCTTTGGGCTTACTTTAAGAGCCATGTTCACCACTATGGCCACACCACATACCACAAGTTGAAGGAGAGCATATTGCAAGTAGTCCTTCCCATACCCTCTGATATGCTTTGAGCAGAAGGTGGAATGTATTGTAACAATTGGAGATGATGACTATCACAAAAGGAAAGCACATCAAGCAGTTATAAAAATATATGCCATTTGTGGACCATAGGTACCATACATCTAATGTGACCATAATGCCACCATAAACCACTACATGACTGTGTACATTTTCTTCCACATGATCAAATTGGTCTACTCACCAAGTTTAACAAGGTTGTATCCATCGGTTTCCTGTGGGCAGTTTTCTTGAACAGCAGGAGCGACTTTTGAAACACCCTGAATATTTGGCCATATACTGCATTACATTGCATGTGTTGGAAGTGACAGTAGTGCTCACCCTGTTGTTAAGTGACTTTCCATCCGCAAGCCTTTTTGGAAGAAATGCATCATATTTTACTCAGGAAGAAGTACCTCAAAGGATTATGACAGATCATGCTGATGGTTCCTGATATTTCTTTAAAAAAATGTTTGCAAACAGAAAGTTGCTAAACAACAGAACAACTACTGGGTGTATTCAGCTGTGACTGGAGTCATGACTTGAGGGTCTTAGTTCAATGCTTGCATTGAGGCTTCAAAATAAATTTTACTCCATGGTGATACCTCTTGTCAATGTCATTAATTCTGGATATAATAGTTTTTTAAAAGTGCTCCACCTGCAGAGAATCATAAACCTTGAGTCATGACCCAGGTCACAACTGAATGCCCCCACTATAGCCACTTTCAATGCATGGAGACCAGTGAAGTTTATGTTGGATGGAGAGGGAATAACAAATATGTAATGATGGGATATATTGGATTGGCTGTGAGATATTTATGGGAATAAATTTTTTCTCTGAATTATTTGCATTTTTGATATTTTGTTGCATTTTCTGAGCTCCTGCTACTAGACAGTGGTGAAAACATTGCAATTCTATTTTTACAATCTCCCTTAGGCATTTAGATGGATCAAAGTTCCTCTGCTTTCAGAATGTACTTCATTATAGGCTGGATAGTTTTTTTGTTTTTCTACATACACCATGAGAACTATTTCAATATTACAATATGACCCACTTTCCACTAAAGAGCATTTTCTGTTCTGTTCTTTTGGCAGAAAGAAATGATGTGAGGAAGCAAGAGGACCTGGGTAGCTTCTATCGACACCTATACAAGCAACAGTACAATGAGGAAGAAGGCCAAATCAAAGATGAGATGCATGAGACAGCACCAACAGGCACTGTGAAGGATATAGATGATGAAAACAAAATGAAGTCGAAACCTACAGGAAGACGGTATAGGAAGAGAAATGCTGAAGTTGACGACGATGATGATGATGAACATCCAGAAGAGTTGTGTCCACCTATAAGGAAGCAAAGAGAGGTGACAAGGGATACAGGAGGAATGAGGACATTACAAGAAGATGAAGAGAATAAAGTAACCTGGAAGGAAAGTGGGGCATTGAGGGATGGTGAGGAAGACAAGGCAGGAGACCAGAAAATAAGAACAGCCATCAAAGAGGAGGCAGTAGAACTCCATGAAGATCTTGATGCAGACAGTGATATTGATAGTAGTGAGCATGAAAATGAGGAGACAAAAGTGTCTGCCTCTATCATGAGACCTTGGTGGCAGAAAAGGACTGTTGGTACAGTGTTTGAAGCAGCTCGTGCTCGTTTCCTCCAGAGACAGGCTCGAGCATAGCCTCTTACTGGTCCCTCGTGATGATTGTTTTTCCAATATGCTTTGGTGAAGATTACCCCACCCCTCATTTACTGAAATGTCTGGAAGACTAAATTAAAAAATGCTTCTTAATTTGGACTCTGCATATGCTTCACATCACCTAATTTCATTCGTTGATGTAAATGGACGGGATGATCCATGTGTAGAGTTTATGGATGAATGGGAAGCTCCTGCATTAAGTATTGGATGTAAAAAATGAAGACTTGAGAGATGAGGTAGTAGGTAGGCACTACTTGTACCTAAAGGACAAAATGTGGAAGATACAATTGCTCAAGGAAGGAGGTGGGTTAAGGGAGAAAGAAAAAGATTGTGGAAATGTTGCATGTTTATTTATGATCTGAACTCAATGATGGTGCAACTCAAGTTGTTCAAGGTAGCAAACACAGTCACCAGGTCTTGGCTAAAGTTGCTGGATGTGGTCCCCACATTGGGCAAAGGCTGCTTCTGGAAGTTCTTGTCTGGAAAGAACATTGCACATGATGACACAAAACTTCCCTTTGGGATGTTCCTCATCTTCATATAGATGATGTTCTTTGAGTTGTTGAACGATATAAGGAAGGTCATTCCATCCCAGTTCACCTAATAGGGAAAACTTTTGTTCATTGACCAATTTCAGCTCTTCTGATTCGTTGGTTTGACTTTTTTCCTCCAAATGTTTATGTCTCGTATGAGTTTTTTTTAATTTAGGAAATGGGACTTATTTTTATCAGAAATAGGTTTTCTTTAAAGACACATATTTTAAATAGATATTAAGGTAGTACTTTGATTATGGTTTCATTTCAAAGACGTAGCCAATGAAACTCAATATGGCTTCGTACCAGGTTAGGGTGGAGCGTACTTCGGGGGCCTCAATGTACCGTTCCGTACTCGGAGGGGGGCACCAATGTAGGTTGGTGTGGCCACAGGGAGGTCCGAATCCGCGGTGCGAGGATAATCAGAAGGTAATCAGCAAAGGTTGCTATGTTCGGAGAGGTTAGTAAGAGACCTCTGTAATCGGCAGAAGAGTACCGAGTACCTGTCTATCTGTTATCGACTGACTCCAAGGTGTTGACTCCTTTGAATTACTTAGGACTCCGGGTTGATATAAGAGGTGTGTAGTTAGACCCCGCGCACCATTTATTATATAATAACCCAACAAGGATAAGTGGATGGGGTTAGTAATAATGAACAGCCTCACGCTGATTGGGGGACCTTAGGGGTCGTCCTCGCCCTTGTAGTCGTCCGGTGGGAAACCACCGTCACCAATAGTCCTCAATAGCACGCACAGATCCGTCCGGCTGTTGCGTGCGGGTTCGCACACGACTTCACGGACATCAGCTGTCCGTCCACTTCCAATGTTTCTCAGCGACTCACTCTTGAGGGAGTGCCCAGGGAAAAGAGGGCTCTAGGCTCTTACGTGAGCGTAGGAGGAAGGAGGTTCTTCCGTCTGTAATTGTTACGTCATCCCTTGCGGGGCTCGAGGAGGACTCCACACCAGGCCTGTAAAATTCCCACTCGTCAGCAGCGAGTGGAAATTTAAGTGAAATTATGAAAGGGTTCGGAAAATAAGCCAACGCTCTGGCAGAGGCGGTTTCATTATCAACCAATTCTGGCTGTGCAGAACACTCAGAACTGGCTACATGGGTTCATAGTTTTATTTACAGGTCCCAATAACTACCTCCCACCCCTTTTTCTCTTCCCCCCCCCCCCCCTTTTCTCACCGGCATTTGTCGAACCTAGGTTAGTCCACCATGTACAGGCTGTCCCAGCTTTATTTTATCACTTTGATTCAGAATATACCTTTTTACTACTTCTTTCAGAAACTATCATGCTCCATCTCGCGTCCTTGATTCTGAAGAATAGCCCTGCACCCTAGTTGATTTTCTACCAGCGCTTTTCGGAGCACAGAGATACACAATTTCTCCCGTTCCTCACCGATTACTTTCCAAAGTTCACCCCAAAGTTTTGCGGCGCTGATTCACATGGGCACACTTCAGGAATCCAAACCCTGCTTAGATAACGAAAACCCCGTTTGTTTGTTTTGTTTCTGCAGTAAATAGGTTCTTCACGCAAACAGGAAGGTACAACCAAGTTTCATCGAGCGTCATAATATACAGGGTGATTCAAATGTCACTTGAATTTGTTTTTGGTTCCGTATCAATGGATTCGTCAGCTTCTGAGCATTATGGTGTAACATGAGTGTGGGACGAGAGGTAATCAGGGACGTCCAGAGGTTTCCAGGGGCCCGGACTAAACTAAACCGGAGACCCCTTTGAGACCCTTTGGAGGTACCCCTTGATGCGCAGGGCCCGGAGCATATTGTCCTCCTTTGCCCTCCCCCTCTTGGCGGCCCTAGAGGCACTTCAGAAGAGACGGCAGGAAAAGAGGTATGACTAGCATAACTTTTTGTGGCTATTACAATGGATTCAGAACGATGGAAAGAGAGCAACAGAGCGGAGTTGAGAGACGGAGAGAGTGAGAGGTGTTATGATAACATGTTCGACGTGACCACCATGTGATGTGTGACGTGAAGGGTTTGAAAAAGTTACGTTACGTTAGGTTACAGTAGGTAATACCGATTACACTTCCCGTTGCCTCAAAATTACGCACGAGATTACTAAGCACTTGCACTGTGGACGGTCCTGCGGGCTTCTTATTTATATTTTACGATGGTAAGTGCGTAAACCTGTAGAGACATTATTCCGTGTTGATAGTAACACCTGACAAGAGTAACACTTCAGGAACAACATCCTAAGCTGATATCTTGTAACTAAATGGCTTCCACCATCTCCAAAATACTATCTGACAGACTACTGGTTGTAGGTGTTGCTGAAATCGCTCGTTTTCCATCATCCAGCCACTCCCTTGAATTGGGCATATCGTCTGCCACCAAGTTCTGCACATCCGTCGCGACATAGTTTGCAGTGCCGTGTCAAACTTTCCATTGCGAATGGCTTCCCTTGCTGAAGCAGATGATGGTCACTTCTAACGTGATTATTACACCTTCCTATCTCTATCTCTCATAATCCCTCTCTTTCCATCGTTCTGAATCCTCGGTAATAACCAAGAGCTATGGTAGTCACACATTTTTTCGTGTCGTTTCTTCTGAGGTATCTTTTGCCCCACACTCATGTCACACCGACTGCTCGGGAGAAGCTTGGGAATCGATTGATATAAAAATTTGAAGTGACTTTTAAATCGCCTTTCACCGGCCAGATGGCGCTCGCATGATTTTTAGGCAATTCGTATTCCTCTCCCCAATGTGTCTCGGGCTGAGTACAAAAACTCTGATCTTATGTTTTCCTTACGTTTTGAGATCCTCATGAATGACCCTGCTGATCGGACCCCTTGGACTCCGGCAGTCGTACATGCAAGTAATCTCTTGCCGGGTGGATTTTCCAAGTTCGCGAAATGACTAACTTCTGGCAGAAGCTTCTTGTTACGTACCGGTCTTGCATTAGGCTTTGTCTGAAATACACGCTTTTCTTCGTTTCTCGCTTCTTTCATTGTAAATGATATTTGCGACTGTTCCTTTGGAAACCCGCCATCTTTTCAAGAAACACGTACGAATAATCATTTTTTGTGGGATCAACGCCTGTATGGCAAACGGCTTTCAAGGGACCGAGGTGGGATTCCTGTAGTTCTCGAAGCAAATATTTCTGGTTTCCCATGTCTTGGAGCACCTGGGCAAGGTTGCTCGAGAAAATTTGGGGAATTTTTTATTTTCTTGCCATTTCTTGTGCATTCAGGGTCTCCACTCCAGTTTTCATCATAGCCCCGAGGTTGGATATTTTGGTCTGAACTCTCAGTTCTGGGCCTTCCAGAACTCGTTTTTGGTGGAAACTCTTCTGGCTGCGAACTCCCGCATCCACTTGCGGACTGTGTTGTCGGCTAGGCGATCATCCCCACACACTTCCCTCAACTGACGATGAATGTCAACGGGTTTTTCTCTGCCTGACAAGAAATTTCATCACAACTCTTTGCTCCTCAATTGTGAAATTAATATTTTAATCCAGTCCAGAAAAATACACTTAAAAAAAGCACCAAAATCGTTTCATCCCCGTCACAGCAACGAATTGACAGGGTGAAGGACAAAGGTCTTAAGACGACAACCACCGATTGGTCTTGATATAGTTTGGCACACGGCCGCTATAGGTTAGCGACATGGCCTTTCTGATTCCACCTCATAAGCCGAGATTGCTTCCAATTTCCGTACAGGTCCCTATGGAGCTACAGCTCTTACACCTCACAGAAACTATTAGGTTGGCCAAAAAGTTCTGCAACACTTGCGAAAAAGTTGATTTTTATGCGCATTTTTTTAAATTTATTGTGTTTCATGCACAATTTTTGTTGTTTTTGAGTTTATCGTGTTCCGGGTTCATCTTTATCCTCAAAGTTTCAAATGACATTAGACAAAATCGAGCTTCACTTCACTTTGAACTGGTTCAGAATGGCCGTGCCGTGAACGCCGAACTCTACTGCCAACAACTGGACCATGTCTATGACAAGCTGAAGGAGAAGTACCCGACCTTCGTTCGTCGCAAACGCGCTTTGTTCCAGCAAGACAACGCTAAACCCCACACCGCCAAGAAAACAAAGGAGAAATTTGACGAACTGGAGGAAGTCGAGGTCTTGCCGCACCCAGCCTACAGTCCCGACGCTGCGCCATCCGATTACGGCCTCTTTCGATCAATGGAGCACTTTTTGCGTGGTCGCCGATTCGAGTCATTTGATCAAGTTGAGGAAGCGTGCCAGGAGTTCTTCGATTCGAAGCCGGCAGAATGGTACTTCAATCAAATCCGGATGCTTGCAGATCGGTGGCAAAAGATTGTTGAAAACGATGGCCTTTAAAGTCATTTGATCAAGTTGAGGAAGCGCGCCAGGAGTTCTTCGATTCGAAGCCGGCAGAATGGTACTTCAATCAAATCCGGATGCTTGCAGATCGGTGGCAAAAGATTGTTGAAAACGATGGCCTTTATTTTGAAGAGTAGTTGTTATTGTTTTTAAATAAATTTGTGCATAAAAATCAACTTTTTCGCAAGTGTTGCAGAACTTTTTGGCCAACCTAGTATTATGGATTGGAGTTGATTAGTAAGACTTGCGGTCTGATCACGCGAATTGCCTGGGCAGTTATCAAGGATAATTTCTTTTCATAGTGCGTCCTCTCTTTTTTATATTTAACTTCCTCTGGTTTCGTCCCAATTCTGCAGGCTGTTTTGTTTTGGTATGGTTTTGGACAAAAGGGTTGTTTTCTGGACCTACCTCTGAAGCCTGGCAGTTCAGTCTGTTGCCTGAGTCGCTTCTGCTAGGAGAGGTACCATGCGAAGACTTTTCCGTATTCTATTGCATATTGTCACCGTGTGCAAAGGTTGTATCTCGACTACCCGCCTAATTTTTTTTTCTTTTTTTTTACGGCAAATGTTCCGTTTTCATCATCTTCATCTTGTATGAAAACGTCGTATCTCTAAACCAATCATGCGGTCAGGAGAACGGTGAGTGACAAAAATTCGTATCCTGATTAGCCCTTATTTCTTCACACCTTCAACCTTCGAAAAGGTCGTATCTAGTAAGCATGCGAAGATGATGGGTGAAAAGGTCGCATCTTCGTTTCCGGTCACTTCGGGCTCTGGAGGGAAGATAACCGCCATGAATGATTCTGCTTCAATTAGGCAGAATTAGTAAGCTGATATGCCCTATCCTGCTCCATAACAGTTAGTAGTCAACAGTTTTCCGCTCCAACTGAAAATGTTACAAAGTCGAGATGCTACGCACGAAGGCGACACTATATGGTGTGACAAAATGCATTGGAACAGCCTGCGCAAGCATCGTTTCAATTAGTTCAAGAATTAAGAGTCTCGTCTCGAGTACATAGCCCTGACGTAGGCAGTGACACGAGACTCCCGGTTCATGCAGGCCGTGAACGAGTCGTAGCCACTGGGCATGCCTTGACTAGGCCGTACCTTCTCATTTATTCCTGCCTTTGGAAAAAAAAAAGATGGCAGGGCTGATATGGGTGGAGCGTATCAAAATTCTGAATATTCAATCACCGAAAGCAACATCGTCGAAAATGTGAACTCAACCAATATTAACATATAATGGCGTCCGATCACCTCGGGTTTCGGGATTAGTCAAGCTAACAGTCTGGTGAAAAAAGAAAAATCGACCCATCCGATCTGCCGGCGAAGTAATCATTTTGAAAGACAACTAACCAGCAGAGAATTTTTAAACCGACAAGCTCGTGTAAGTCCAACTCATTGTATTGCGCTAAAAAAAAATTTCCCCGAGTAGCTGATTTCCAGGGAATTTTTTTCTCTATTGATCTAAGAATCTAACCCATAAAGGCAAGAATAAATTATGGTTTGGAAAACTGACATGTTGCAGTCATAAACCTCTATGCAGTTCTCTACATGGGAAAGTAACTAAAAATTACAAAACAATATTAGTATTTTAGGTCCCCTTTTTTAACCCATAATGCAATGGCAGTAAAATGTTACTGGTAGCTTCTCAGCCTGAGGCCACTACTTGCAGACACAATCTCCAGCAGTACAAGTTCATTCCTAACATATAAGAAAAATTTGTTTGCAATACTGTCCATCCATGCATTCCTTTATTGTAACAAACACAAAAGGAGTAAGGAAATGGAATCTATTTTATGATGGTTGCCACCCCAGCACTTTGCTTTGATCCACTGAGCACAATGAAAGGAGTTTGTGATTCTTTATGCTTTTCAATCATCTTTTCCACTGTCCCAAGAGGAGTATCAGTTGAGCTCATCTGTTTCACCAAGGATTGCTCTGCAACCTTCCTCATCCTCTTTTCTGTCTTCATCTTTCCAGAACCTTTTCCATGAAATTTGTGGGATAGATAGCGAAAGGCTTCCTTGGGAGTCAGAAGTCTGCCACTGTCATCAATGTATTCAAGCTTCACCTCAGGCTTATAACTATCTTTCTCCTTGAAATCAGTGACAGGTCCATGAAAACGGTCACCACGGCGGGAACGGTCCTCATCAAGTGTCTTGTCTTCGATGGAATAGTTCTGGGCTCGCAACATGGAGACTCTACCAACACCCACCTGCTTCTTCACTTCAGTTTCCAGGTAACCTTTCTTCTGAGCCAGTTTCAGAGCAGCGAAAACACTAGTTCCAACTTCTGGTTCCTCTTCCAGGATGGCAGAGGAAGATGATGGAACAGCCCCATCCATCACACCTGGACTTTGACTCATCTCCTCCTGTCCTTCCCCAATATGGCTCCACCTACTTCTCTCCTCGCTATCTATCTCACTCTCCTTTTCTTCTTCTTCTTCCAATTCTCCACGGTTACCTGATCGACCATAAGTAGGCACATCCCCAAGAGAACGAGCAAATTCTGCAGTAGCATTCAGTACAATTGAGTTTCCACTAAATACAGTTCCTTCAACCTCCATGCCCTCCAATTTGGAGAACTCCATCTTCTGTGCAATATCATCAGGCCGCTGTTGATCCAATTGCTTCAGCTTCCTTGCTTTATGCAAGCTCATTTGGAGTTCTAATTCTGCTTCATCTGGTTCTAGTGGGATATGCTCTAAGTCCTCAGTTGGGCCAAGCAAGTCTTCATCATCAACATCCATAGGCAATGTGTAATGCCCATTTGCCCTGTCCTCTTCAACTGTTGCACCTTGGTGACTTCGATTCCGAGATCCCAGATCACTTGTGCCTGTATCTGCCAGAGGCAAAAGGTCATCTGCAGACAAGATTCGATTTTGCATTTTTGTTCTCACTTTCTTTTTCTTTTTGGGTTTCTTGAACTTTGCCATCTCTTCAGGAGTGTAATACTCTGTCATGAGGCGAGGAGCAAGGGTGTTCAAATTTTCAATTCTCTTTTTCTGTTCCTCAAGTTTATTACGTATTTCTCGTCTTTGTTTCTCTTCTGCAACTGCCTTGTCATCACCAAGAAGAAAAGACTTCTTTTTCTCACCTTCTATCTCTTCATCATATTTTTTTAGAAGTTCATGGCCTTTCCTTGGTTCACCTTCACCCTCTTCCTCCTTCTCTTCAAAAGCATCATATCCAGGCTTTTTGGAACGAATGGCCACATTCTTGGCATGTCGCTCATCTTCGGCCAAGTTCACGTTCATGAGTGTATCAGGGTCTTCTGTCAAGACATCTTTGTCTTGAAGGGTAAGGATAATTTCCTTCCCTTCCTCAACTTTCTCTCGATCATGTTCCACCCGGAGACCCAAGAGGTCCTTAGCTGTGTATGAGCGCCGAGCCTCAAACACATCTTCAACAAGTTCTCCGATCCCAAACTCTCTGTCCATTTCCTCTATGACCTTAGCACGTCGGGCAGCAGCTTCTTTCTCTTCTTGGATGCGTCGATTTTTCTGAACCCAAGAGGAAACATCCTCATCATCACTCACAGCTTCTCCAAGACCCTTTAGAGTTTGTAGCTGTTCCTCCACTCTCCTTCTCTCTCTTCTCTCAGCAAGTCTTTCCCGCAATTTATTTGCTCTCTCCTTCTCTCCTAGGTTTTCAGCAGGTTTGTGGACAAAGTCAAGCACTGGAGTCTCATTTTCTTTAGACAAGCTAGCATCATCAAGAGGCTTCAAGCCAAGTTTAGCACGTATCTTGTTGGTTTCTTCAATGGAGAGTGAAATATCTCCTTTAGATGCACCAAGGCTTGAATCATCATCTCCCAAACCAGGGATCTTGGTCTCCTCATCCTCTGGAGGTTGCTTTTGCTGAACAAGAGATCCCTGCAACTTGAAATCGTCACCAATTTCTCCTTCTTCTGCATCTGAACCAAGAAGCTTCTCCTTGATGCACCCTTCCCTTTTCACTACAATCTCTGCATCTAGTTTATCATCACCGCTATCACTGCTTTGATGCTTTCGCTTCCTCTTTTTCTGATGCTTATGTTTGTGTTTCCTTCGCTTGGATTCAACAGGAGAAGATGACCGGGATTCAGAATCTGATCGAGCACGGTGCTTTCGCTTTCGATCCCGATGCTTCTTAGTTGAGCCCATGTTATAGTATAAACCTTATGCTTTGTAGTCAGACAAAATTCCTCTGCAACAACTCAGGTTCTTTAGTCCATTACTTCCAGCCTCTCATGAACTGCATACTGAAAAAGAAAACCATAACACCATAGTATCATTCTCAAGCTCCCAGGAGTAGTACGTCTGCAAAAATCACATACAGGGTGGGCCAAAAGTCAGGACACACTTGAAATTTTTATGATATTTTGCTTTATTCATTACAAGATAAACAAGGAATATTACATGTACATAAACTATTTATAATTATATTTATAATAATTAATAAAACTAAATAAAAAAAATATCATGAAATTTCAACTGTGTCCTGACTTTTGGTCCACCCTGCATATCCTTTTAATTAACATAGAATACCTCGCAACATCCCATAGCTTTGCTCTAGCTTTGATTATCCATGGTTCATGTTTAGCACTAAAGAGCCATCTGACCATTAAATATTCACAGCTAGGTAATAATTTTTACTCTGATATGGATAAGCCTTAAATGATAAAGATGTGCCTTCTTTCAATTGGATCCAATTCCTGTACAAACTGCTAATCATCCTTTCTCTTATGACTACATGGGCTTATTAAAATGTCAGCCATTGATTCTACAAGATTATTAGTTTGGTTTGATATTTTGGTTTGGTGTGGGGGGGATAAAAGTTCCTTCTGAAAATCCTGTTTCCTTCGGTATTAGTATCTACATAGAGGGAAATTACCTCTAAGACATGAAAAACATGACATCCAAAGAAAAATTAACTCAGAAACAGACATAATATACTAGATTGGAATGCTTCTCCAGAGATCTGTCCATCCATGGTTTTTCCTTCTCTATATATATATATATATTTTTTTTTACCCTATCTGACCTACTTGCCCACAGCAGACCTGGCAAAAATATGAAACTGAATAATTCCAGGAAAAGGACCAAATATTGTGAATATGACTCATCTTATCTTGATCTTAAATCAACCTGATCTTAATAAAAGGATCATATCCCAGAATGATGTGACCCATGATTGTTATATGTAAAAAACATGACACCAACCTTGAATCTTTCTTCCAGCAGTGACAACTCTGACAGAAGATCTGTAATGGCATTCATAAGAGCATCTTGTGGAGTATACTCAGATGATGAAGTCTGTATTCTCAAGATGACTTTGTGCTCTAATGGATGAGGAACTTTGTATCCAGCGAAGATCACTCTTGGGTCCTTCAACAACTGCCTATGAAAACAAAGAAGTAATGAAATTAGTGGCATGGATAAAAAAATAAGCAGTGTTATACTTTTTCAAGATCAGAAACCATGTGGGTATGCATCACCTATCCTGCCAGAAAATGACTCCTAGAGGCTCTTTTACAAGTACACATAGAATCTAAAGGGTTACCTATAAATGTGCTAGAAAGAGTGAAAGCATGCATGAGATAAACTCTAGCATGATGAAACTCCCTATTTGAACACTTTTTTGATAGGACATTTAAACTCTCTCTTTTCCTTTGAATCTTAGCTATTCCATGCTGAGATATGGATAAAATACATTTGTTGGAAGAGCTGTCTTCTTATACATTGCCAGTCATATACAATATGCCAACATTTGGGAATGGTATGAAAGTTGAAGAAAGATAAGAAGTAACTACTTCAACCAACAGTTGAAGGTTAACATTAAAAATGCAGTCTAATAGATATCACTCACGTCTTAATGAGATTGCCCAAGGTATGGTCCTCTTTATTTATAGTAAATATGGCTGCATTCCTGACTTTGGTATCCTGCTCTTTGATGATCCTGGAACAAATACAAATAATTGTTCGCAGACAAATCAGACATAATTTTCTAAGCAGAGTCTATAAATGCTCACCACTATACTCTTATCATGAATCCTAGGGTTATTTGTCATATGTCTAATGGGGATATATATATATATATTTTTTTTTTTTTTTTTTTTTTTTTCACTGAATAGGTGATATATATATATATATTTTTTTTTTTTTTTTTTTTTTTCTTCACTGAATTTTCCACTAATTTCACTACGAATGCACGCTTTAGGAGTGAATGTTGCTGGTGGTGCTAGTGGACCCCAAATCAACATGGCAAGTATGCTCTCTGTGTGCACCAAGGAAGGAGAAGCTGTCTGTTATTTGCTTTTGCAGGCAAATTGTATTACACCAGTGGATATTCAGAAACGAATGTTTGCTCAGTAGGGTGAGTAGTGTACAACAACAAAAAGTGTACGAGTGGATAGAAAGGTTCCAAAATAGACTGATGAGTGTTGTTGATGATAGTTGATCTGAACATCCAAGCACAGCAGCACTTGTTTGTCCATTTCTGAACCTTTCTATCCACTCAGACATGGCTACTATACTACTATAATAAAAACTCTTACAGGATTACAATCTATGACCCACCAACTCAATACCTAAAGTGTAATCCTTGATCTTCTAGGAAGAAGATTTGGTATTTTCCCCAAAAAATTGGTCTAGCATTGACCTCTGATAGGCACATATGACTGACAATGCATTAGGCAAATTAATGCAGGGATGGACTTCACTTATACAACAGGGTAGTTTAAGGCTGAAATGGAACTAGCTACCACCAGTCACTGTTGTTTGGAATTAACTTGTTCTATTACTGTACTTTTTTGGCAATTTTATTGCTGGTCTACAATTGGATTGGGCAAGGAAGAAATTCCAGTAATACAGGGTGGACCTGAGAAGACAGATACAAGTTAATTGCATATTAAATTGGTTTATTATTCTCGGTACAAGTATTCAGTATACTGTTAAGATGAACACCATTTTGTGAATAAGGACCATCTGTGTGACACCATTTTGAAGAAATAATCATGTATTGACTGAAATGAGACATTTTGGTGTATGTATTTCAGATCTCCCACACTAGTACAAAGTGTCCATAAATCAGGACAGTGCAATGGTATTCCAATAAGCAGAGTATTCTATTAAAAGGCATTCCATTATGCAGAGTCAACTGTATTCCCAAAAGAGTCCCAATAGTTGCCATGTGGTAAACTACATCAAAGGCTATTTACATATTCCCTCTCTGGAATCTAAGGTAACCCTTCCTCCTTTAAACCCATCCCAACACCAAAGTTGCACCCAACCTTACTGCAAAAATGTGCCTATTGGGAGGCTACATTTTCATGACTAAATCCTTGAGCGACTTGTCGTCACCCAAGTTCAGTCTCCATGACTTTACTGGTAGTACTACCTCCTAACAGTTAGAAGGAATCAATTCTCAGCCACGTCATGGTGTGCAATTGTAAATGCACACCCTACGGCATGAACATAACTGTGCATACACAAAGGTAAGGCGTGTGCACGTCGCAAAGTCACGGCAGGGATCAGCGTGAATGGGAGGATGCAAGTATGCACCTAATGCAAGTCCCTCTCCGCAGTAGAAGTGTGTTAAGGTTATAAGTACGCATAGGAAGGGCGGTGTGGATAAATAGTGTAGGATGTGCCTTTCAGGCCGGGGTCTGGGCCTAAAACTACAGTTACGTTCGAACCCCCCATGTCTGAAGAAAAAGAGCAGTCTTATCTCTTACTACTCGATCTCTTCGATCGGTCGATATCTCTTACTACTTTGACTTATAAAGAATGCAAAGCTCACTTTTTCTCCCCCTCGAAGAGCAAAAATGATTCAAAGGTGGGGGGTGCATTCATATCTCACGATGGACGGGTGACAACATCCACAATGGACGAACACACTTCGTCGCAGGTAGGGTTCCATGCATCAACGCTCTATGGTACCATATGCCAGACAGTGTTGCCATTCTCGGCGGGTTCAGACAGTGTTGCATTTAACCGAATCAAATTTATTCCGGAGAGGTGTGGGCTGGGGATGTGGTAAAGAATTGGGATAGCGGTATGGACAACGTACACATTTTATGACTCCACTTTGAACGGTCGTCAATTTTTATTCAGACTACCTAAGTACATGAAACTTTCAGGAAACAATGTGTTTCCAATGTGATAGAAGACATCACAAACCTTGATCATCCGCAGCGAATTTTATAAAGCGCCAAAGAGGACGCATATTTTGGCGCCACACGGTATATTCAGGGTGGCACACGAATAAGTATCGGCTTTTGATATGCAATTTCCTCACAACGAAAACAGCGATTTTAATGAATTAATCATTAGAAAGAACACTTCTTAACTCTAAGATTGATGTCTCACACTGCACAATTCCGAAGCTTTCTGTTCTCAGCAGACTCCGAGAAGCGAAGAGGGAATTCCCAGCGACCACAGGACCTGAAAGTTTCAATCCCATGAGACTTTGCCAAGTAATTTCTCAGATTTCCCGTCGCAATTTAAATGATCCAGTATTAAAGAGATAGAAGATAAAGAGCGTGCATTCCCCTGGCTTGTATGAAATCGTCATGGTGCAGCGCAGGCGCACTGGCCACCTAGCGGAAAGGGTGGAGAATCATTATCCCTTCTATATATCTTCAATTGACGATTGTTGTTTCTAAAAGGTGAGGTGTGATTTATGCCATCAGGTGCCTTGTAGTATACACACGTGTGCACTTGTCAATATTGCTAACAGATATAACTTCAGAGGAATGTTCTGCAAATGTTCCAAGCTTTCAAGATAATTAAAGGAATAGATAATGTCGAGTGTGGTAGGTTCTTCCAGT